ACATTTGTAAATAGAATGGCCGTTGCAGTACAGCACAGCACGATGTGGCTATTCTTGCAGGGTTTAATCACAGTTCACTTTTAGCTGATACAGCAATTTATTTTGTGAAGTCGTCAAATGTCTATATATCTATATAACCCTTCATCAGAGATTGATGCAAATCAATAATTTGGTTCTTCTGAAGGGTTTTTTTTGTTTGTTTCATTATTCCACTAGCACACAATATCTGTTTGATAAATGAGAAACTTCTCACTGCATTAGTTACGTTAAAAGGCTTGGCCATGCACAGCATGTAACTTAATTCACCCGCAACAACCTGCATTAGTTTTCAGTGTGAATGACCAAGATCTCTTTTTCTACCAAATAAACGGCAATGATTGTTTGCAAAATAAAATGTTATCTGATTATTCAATAATCAGATAATCTATATAATAATCGATTCTAAAAATATTCGACAGTGACGGTCCTAGTCAGAACATTTTTCAACTCAAGTGTGGAGGATTGTGCTGTGCATCGCCTTTAAAATCTATCGGTTCCTCACTGCTGCTCTTGCAAATTATGTAATTCCTTTGTGCTTATGGTGGAACAACACTTGTCTATAACTCAGTGATCATGTTAATCAGATCTGTGAATGTGCGCCTCTAAGAAGGGATGCACATGACTGACATTTTGTCAAAGTAATAACAGGGCATTGCAATTATTTCTTTCATTTAGATTGTATCTCATATATCTGGATCAGTATGTTGTGTATTGTATGACATACTGGATGTGAGCACAAAACGTGCACTCATGCAAATAAGTATGCTGCAGGTTGTACAGCGTTGGTAAAATTCAGCGTGTGTCGGCAATCAAAATGACAGAATGTTGCTCAGAGACATACATGACTGTCATATCATCGTTAATAATCAGATGAAATTAAAATGGCAAACGAGGCTTTGAGGGGCTCCGGTTTGCTGGCCTCAGTATTGCATCTCTGCTTTTAGCAGATGATGTGGTGCTGTGCTGATCTCCAACTCTCACTGGAGCAGTTTGCATCCGAGTGTGAAGTGGTTGGGATGAAAATCAGCACCTCCAAATCTGAAACAATGTTCCTCAGTCTTAAAAGGGTGGAGTGCCCTCTCCGGCTCGGGGATGAGCTCTTCCCCCAAGTGGAGGAGTTTAAGTATCTTGGGGTCTTGTTCATGAGTGAGGGCATGAGAGAGCGAGAGATCGACAGGCAGTTCGGTGTGGTGCTGCTATGCAGACTTTGCATCAGTCTGTCGTGGTGAAGAAGGAGCTGAGCCAAAAGTTCCTACCCTCGCCTGTAGTCACGTGCTATGGATCGTGACCAAAAGAACAAGATCCCGTATAGAAGCAGCCGAAATGAGTTTTCTCTGTCAGGGGTCACCCTTAGAGATAAAGTGAGAAGCTCAGTCATTCGGGAGGGGCACAGAGTTAAGACACTTCTCCTCCATGTCGAGAGGAGCCAGATGAAGTGGCTTGGGCATCTGATTAGGATGCCTCCTGGGCACCTCGCTGGTGAGGTATTCCGGGCATTTCCGATTCTGGGAACGCCTCGGGATCCCTGGGAAGAGCTGGAAGAAGTGGCTGGGGAGAAGAAGTCTGGCCTTCCTTGCTAAAGCTATTGCCCCCGCGACCTGACCCCGGATAAGCGGTAGAAAATGGATGGAAGGATTAAAGATGATTCAGGTAAAACCATTCTTAATCTGTTTCTCTCCTGATGAGGTACTTTTCACTGCAAATGTTGGAGGCAATTATAAAGGGAGTATCTTGTCAGCGGCATAAAATTAATCAACAAATAAACATTAATTTAGGTATTTTCCGTGCATTTGGTAATAATGTGGAACACAATTTTCCTGGATATTATTATTATTATTATTATTATTATTATTATTATTATTACTGGAATACTGTAAATCACAGATGTCAAACTCAAGGCCCACGAAAGGAAATCATGCGTCAACTTCCATAATCCTTGCTAAAATCTGGACCAAAATTTCAAATTGTCAGATAATGCGAAATAATAAAGTTCAGATTTTGAAATATTTTCTGAAAACATTTTGACAGTAACGTCAACAATAATTGTAACAAACTCTTATCCTTGGCTTTTCATTTCAAAAACAGTAGTCCATCAACGTGTTGTTTATGGGTCAGATACGATGAGACGATGAAGCATTTCTTTGGTTTCACTCTCATCCTGGCCCTCTGAGGGAAGCTGTAAACACAAAGTGACCCGCAACAAAAAAATGAATTTGACTACTCTGCTGTAAATAATGTATCATGTCACCAACACCCCACCCCTGTTGCCTTTCAATATTTTAGCACTAACTTGGTCACTTGTCGTGCTGTGGTTCACGCATCTGACTTTAACGCAGAGTGCCAATACCTGCTCAGTAACCGCATGTATGAATGTGGGCGTGAAAATGCTTATCTGTCTCAATGTCTGCCCTGTGATTGACTGGCTAGCAATCCGGAGTGTAGTCATCCTTCCGCTTAGTCGGCAGTGTTCGGCTTCAGCCCCCGGCTTGGATGGATGGCTCTGACGTGCATCTCCATTAGATGTGCCTCACTCATGCTCGACGATCCCATTAGTTGAGGCGTTCTTAAAACTGCCTCCGTACTCACTAACGGTAATGCAAGCCGTTGAAAACAGCAGATCAGTTTTACGTGTTCGGGAACAGAAATTTCTGAGGATGATGTTGACACCTTGTTCAGATAACTTTTTGACATATACACACACACACACACACACGCACGCACGCACGCACGCGCGCGCGCGCACACACGCACGCACGCACGCAC